TAATTAAAGAGATGCAGCTACAGATATATGAATTGAAAAAGAAATTAAGTTCACTAGAATGTATACCCGAAACTATCTCACCTATGACAAAGGAACTGCAGGATTCTACAATCCTAAAGCTTTTTAATATGACTTCTAGAATGACTCATACTGACTCAAAAAGTGCGAAGGAGTTAAAAAACGCCATCGACTTTCTATCCAGCGAAGTTGTTAAAAGGCTGGCTTCAAAACAAAACGCAATAGTGTATAATGTACCGGATATCGAACCCATAAAGTCAGTCCAGCACTCACTGCTGAAGGCTGCAAATCTCTTGAATGCACCTTGTCAGTGCATTCACCTAAGTAATAAAGACCTAAAGCATCCTTGTCCTGTAGTCTTTAGGTTCGACAGCTACATAATAGCTGAACGATTTAAGATGGCCGAAGATCTTCTGGCTACTGCCACTAAATTCAAGACTACTAAGGTAGTCTCGGATAAAACACCAAACCAAAGGCAAACAACCAAGAACTCCTTCGATACAAAGTTGACAACACTGAGAAATACATCTAGTATGAGTGCTAAAGTGTCGACGGACAGTGAAGCACAGCAAGTCACGTGTATAGTGTTAGGAGAAAAAATGGCAAGTAAAAGTGATCCAAAGCTCAGTAAGAGCAGTGCCACTGGGTGCAATCTTAGAGTACACGAGAGCACATCTCGAAAACCTGCTGACCTACCTGGAGTTGACATTAACGCACAAACTATGGCTGACCAGAAACTACTGGAAGACCACACTCAATCTGGGTCCAAGCCAGAGAGTCCCTCAGTAGAAACGGCAAAAAAGACCACAAAGCCCAGAGTCCCACCCCATACTTTGATATACCTCCCTCGTAATAAGTCTAATAAGCAGCGTGTCAGTCTAAAAAATGACAAAGCATGGGTAGCGAAGCACATTCCCAAAGACGTCACGCAGCATGTGAGAAGGAATACCCCTTCCCGAACTAGAAGTAACATGCCTAACATCGCACTTAACTTGGGAATGCAACGTAGAATGGATCCTTAGGATATATGGAGCACCAAACGGGACTCATATAGGCACCATATTAACGAAAGTTCTCGTCCAAACTCTCGCATTATCTACGTTAAACCTCATCAACATAATGAGAACAGGTCGACACATGATTCCCCCAATAACTTCACTCACACACGTGATGTGAGCCAATATGCTTACGGTTATGAAAGCCCCATGAGGTACAACTACCAGGGTAATCTTAACACAGGGTACCTAGGTCCAGCAAGCTACAAAGCAAATTGCAGGGCAGACCATATATCACCAGTAGATGAATGCAGATGCTGAACCATGGATGCTAACAGTCAAAATATGCAACAGGATCATATTCGGCTGCAGCAAACAATAGTCCCACTCGCTGCACAGTTCATCCAGGAAATAGTATACACACTGACTCTGTCTCACCTCAGAGCCCCTCCAAACATAACGTAGGGATAGTAACAAGTAACCATGTTAACCTCTCCTCCAATAACTCTAGTTTACTAACAATTATGCTCCTGAATGCTAGATCTCTCCATAATAAAGTAACAACGCTTCGCTATCTGGCACACATAGAACGGCCAACACTAATAATGGTGACTGAAACCTGGCTTACTACTGATATACCCGAAACAAAGCTAGTAATAGACAACTGCGACATCTATAGGAACGATAGAGTTGGCAAAAGAGGAGGCGGTGGCTTAATATATGCCTATAAATCCACTAACTCCAATACTTTCAATAACCCAAATACTGACAAACTCCCAGAATCTAAGTGGATAAGCACCCACACAAACGAAAGTAAAATTCTCGTGGGATGTATATACAGACCCCCCAATAGCCCTGAAATGACTGATATAACTATTGGAGAAATACTAGAGCATGTAGCCACGCTGGACTTCGACTACAAAGTAGTATGTGGAGATTTTAACTTACCTGGAGTAAACTGGGATACCTGTACAGGACCTAGAATCCATGAAGAGCTACTACAAGCTATAGACATAGGAGGATGGAAGCAGTGCGTACGCCTCCCTGCAAGAAACCAAAATTCTCTTGACTTAATCCTTTGTCATAACATAGAGCCCATCTCGATAGAGGTGGGAAATAAACTCGATAACGGTGATCACAACATACTGTACTGCACGCTACCCCATCCGACTAACAACTAAATACACACCTAAAAATTTCCCGGTGTGCTATCAATATAGGGACTATAAGAATGCTGATTGGGAATTCCTAACAGATGTGTTGAGAAGTTCTGACTGGGAAGAATACTTCATCAACAATAACTTAGAAATATCCCTTGGCGAGTCATAAAGAGCATCTCAAACAAACTTCAGACCTTCATTAACAGCTGTCTTCGCTCAATACTGAAGATCAGATGGCCAGAAAAGATCAGCAACAGGGATCTCTGGCAATGAGCGAACCAACCCAGCAGGAACCGATTGTGAAACAAATAGTTGGTAAGAAATGGAGATGGATTGGCCATACGCTGAGGAAACCATCAAGTGACATCACTAGACAAGCCATTGCTCCAGTGGAACCCAAAAGAGAAGCGGTCGGCGAGTTGGTCGTCAGTGCAAGGGTGACTTGGAGGAGGTCAGGCGAGGAGGAGATGAGAGTATGTGGACATACCTGGAGCAGGGTGAAAAGGTGTCAGAAAACCGAAGGCAGTGGAGGTGCGCAGCTGAAGCCCTATGTTCCTCTAGGAACTAAAGGATACAATAATAATAATCCCTTGAGATTTTCTAAAAAACAGTTGGCTCAGCAAGAGACACAATCACACCCCTAAAATCTGCTCTAAAGACACCAACTCCATTTATTGACCGCAAAACGCGACAAAAACTAAAGAAATTGGAAAGGAAATACCATGTATTTAAGGAATTTAATGCGTTAAACCAAATACACGAAACTCTTAAACTGCTTGAAGAGAAACACAAAATGATATCACAGCATGAGGAAAATAAAGCGCTTATGGATACCACCAAAACTCAGGAACTTTGTAGGATATTGCAGAAACGTCTAAAAAGCAGTAAAGACAATAATGTAAGTATCTTGGAACATAGGGGTATAATATACAATGATCCCCAGGTTATAAGTGAACTCCTCAGTGAGTGGTTTTGCAATGACACCAGAGTGCACCCGACCCCAAATTTCCAAATGGCCTGCAAAAGTAACCACAAATTAGGAGAAATAGACTTTAATATACAAAATATAGACTCAGCGATTAAGACATTGAAGTCAAATGGCAGTACTGGAACAGACGACATACCATCTGTCATATACAGAAATGGTAGCACGGAAATGGTAGTCTTGTTACTTAGAATATTTACTCTGTCACTGGAAACTGGAACTTATCCTGAAGTGTGGAAAACCACATACATATTACCTAAGCACAAAGCAAGGGCCAAAACCAGTGCATGCAACTATAGACCTATTAATATAACACCGGTAATATCACGAATAATGGAGAAAGTGGTTAAAGACCAAGTGTCAGACAACTTACTAGAACATGAACTTATCAATACTGAAGGTAGTGCCAGATTCACGATCAGAAGTGTTTACTGATCGCTGATATGGCGGGAGAAAAACAAACAACGAATGACTGATGCAGTCCTTAGGGTCTCAACAATGGGATACGACCAGGTCACTATCACCAGTGACTTCAGTACGTCACCGCATGGTGTCGGCGTCAATAATGTCTACAGAGAAGCCCTCCGTAGAGAGTTGCTGTTTACTGCTATTAAGACGGACAGCTATTAAGACGGGGTCGGACGATTAACTATCCCATGTAGATTGCCATCCCATAAGTACCCCATACTCATAGCGAATATGCACTGCCCCTAGAAGTGATTGTATTACAAGGCTCGATGGACAGGGGAAAATTCCAGGCAAACTAAGTCAAGAAATTTCATACCGACCCTAAAAATCTGTGCCGATTAAGTCTTTAGAGGAAACCGCTAGCCAAGGAGTATGTATGCCTGGTGATCAGAAGGGCGAATTTCTGGACAGACTGTGCTTTTCGTGGGGAAAGGTAATCAATGGGGTATTGCAAGGAGAAATTCTGAATCCACTGCTCTTTGTAACCTTTATAAACGGTATCCCTAGCAACTTAAGCTCCTCATCAATTTATACTTAGATGAGGTGTCTGCGGTGGGCCGTAGGAAACATCCGAGGTTCGACTAGTCTGGTGGAGGCCCTAACCAACTTGGAGATATAAAGCGCGGAAAGCTTATGGTCAATTATTATGGTTGAATCTGTAAATCCTAAGCTATTGCTGAATATTACCTTACACAAATTAGTACAGAACACAAAGCGTCTGATCCGAGAAACACTGTGTTATCCATCAAAGTATCTCAACAGAAATGTTAATCAAGCAGTGGCAGAAAAATTAGGGGTTAGTGTCTTTTTCTTTAGGGTTAACTACCAGTGGAATTCACTGCTCGGTTGCATGGCGTCCGCTCCATCAGTTGACAGCTGCAAGAGAAGACCAGACCTTAGTGCAAGGATATTAGACTGTGTGTATGTATAAGGAAGCGAAGCTAGTTTGCAGATACTGTGCTACCATTAAAAAATCCTACCCGGGTTAACTCATCTTTACATGCTTCGTTATTTTATTATCCGTTTTATTATTAATTTTCTGTACATTCTCTTTATCTTACTAGTCTTACACCTATTCCTCTTATACTACTGTCCATTTGCTCAGTCTATTGACTACCTGGACTACCCCCAACCTGCTATCGCTTCCTCCGGAGTGTTCGTAGTTCTGACTGGAGGACTGCGCGATGAAAAAATTCTCAAGCCTAAACGGCACAGGTATATCACTGCCATTGTACAAATCACAGATAAATAAAAGTACAAAAGGACAATAAAACCATGTTTAAACAAATAATTTCACATTTTATAAGCGTTAAACTAAGTTCTTCAACTTTTCTGAATGTTATAAAAAAAAGATGTTTTCCGTTTGTTTGAACGTATTAAGTGCACACGTATTGTGTAAAACGTCACGACAACAATTCGAAATGTCTGGTGAGACCCCAAAAGAGGTAGTGATTAACAAGTGGGATGTCGGTTCTTTGAAATTAGCTCTTGATGATGCTGCTAAAGAGGTAAGAATATCAGTTCTCATTTTCTAAATAATATCTCCTAGTTGTTCATGAAAAAACTTGGTCTAGTTGAAACGCACCGATTATTTGATGGACGATTATTTCTATGTACAATATCTGTTCTGATAGCTGGTTTTGGTGTTTTATTTGACTATATATACCCGCATCCACGATCTCGAACAGTTCTGATAGTTTGTATTTCTCTTTACTTCATAATGTCTGCAATAATAACACTGTATGTAATGTATGTGGAAAAGAATGTTTTCTTCACTGGATTAAAAGAGGATAAAACTGGAGTTGATCCTGCTGATACGTGGACAGTATGCTCTTATATGAATAAGTAATTAAAATTTTCATATTTTCTCTAAATGCTAACTCTATTTGCAGATACGATCCTACATACCATTTTAGCCTAAAAGTGTGTGACGGTATAAGCAAGAAAGTGAAAATGTCTACAATAGAAAAGTCTGCTGCTGAATTTTTTAACGTAAAGGGAGAGTTACAAAGGGATCGGTATAATGAATTCCTACAACATCTAGTATCAGATCTCTATGGGGATAAAAAGTCTCAATAATAATGATAATAATCTTCAGGAATTTGAATGGTTTGTACATTATTCCAATATATTTTTCTCACATAAAAGAAACAATTGTGACAATGGTTGGTTTTTGTTGTTTCGATAACCTGGAAAAATTGTTCCTGCGTAAATTCAATTTTTGTATTTGTGATATTCAATAGGTAAAAGATACTTTGGTGACAAAAATGTGTTTTTATCCATTGTAAACGGCATACAAATGCCATATTTGCTTTCTTCAGATTAGTGGTTAAGTGGTGTATCTAGGATGCTATTATAAAGTGCACATTTTTGTCTTACGGATCACTAGTCTTGGTTGCAATATGGGCAAACTTTATTTTAATAAAATCTCATAGTGTTGTATAATAATATTTACTGTGTGACACTGAGAGACTTTATCAAAATGAATTTTATCCACAATGGAATTACACTATTACAGCGCCCAAGTCCTGCTCTTATACCACTAGTTTTGGTGGCTAAATTAAATGTAACTCTTAACCATATGAAAACTGACAATTGACTAGAAACAGCCTCTTAGAGAGGCATATACTATCTGACTGGTTGGGGTCCTTTGGACTCTCAGAACTAGTCACTTGAAACAAATAGTCATCTCATCATGTTTTTGCAGGTTACTATTCTTTCTCTACTTCTGCCTATGAAAGTTCGTCTCAATGTCTTCTGTCCTTTTTTCGCTTTGTGTGATATATGGGGAGTGTGGCAGCTTGAACTACTGCTGTACTTCATTCTTGAAAGTCATTTAGTCACTGGTAGTAAGAAGTGTAGTCAAATTTCTATCTGCAACGTAACTACTAAGAACTAAAAACTATTTAGTTTGTTCACGTATTTTACTGGAAAAGGGTGTGAAACAACTTGTGTGTTGATCTGTGATTATAAAGTGGAGATCCTTTATCAACTACAGACTATTTGTTTATTGAATTACTAGCTTGGTGCTTTGTGAGTACCAAGAGATGCGCCAGAAAAAATCTCGAAGCTTTTGTGAGTTCTGGGATAATACGTGGGAGCCCAGACCTAAGCAGGTGAATATCTTAAGGAACTGCTCTCTCGAGACTTTCATTTGAACTCTGACCCACATTACAGGGAAGCAGCATCAGGATCTGCCGCGTTCCCATGGTTTCTGGTAACCAAGACGTGTTCATAAGCCATTCGATCCTTTCCCTTTCAGAAGCTCATGCACATACCATACCATCAGGGTTTTTCAGCTCCTTTAGGTACACCTGCACCTGTAGGTGTAGGCACCAGACATTCCTGTTCTCTTTTTGGCTTTTGTTAAGAACACGCGCGATGCTGCTTGAAGGCAGTGACTAGGAATTACATAGCAGAGACTACAAACGAGTGGTTACATCTTAAGATGACGTAAGGCTAAATGCACTTGACAGTATCAAGTGACATGGTGATGGGAGAGAGACGAAGAGTTAGTAGGGAGTTGTGGGTATTGTCTCTTCGAATCAAAAAAAGTCAAGCGATCAAACTCACTGAAGACAAAGGTGAAAGGAATGAGGGGGAGTTATTAATATAGTGTCATTGATACACAGTATAAATTTTGAGGAGAGAAAACAAAAATTACTAGACCCGTTAGGTGTATCACGGGGCTATTAAATGAAACTATTCTGACTATTATATTGATTATATAGACAGAAACTATATCAACCAAATGAGTACATGACTTTCGACAACAGCTTATAGTTACAAGGGATACAACCAACTGAAATTTTGCCTTTTTTTGGATTTGCATAAAAAGAAGTATAAGGAGATCGAGTGTTTGACTATTATAGAATATATAGAGTTGCTTGAACAAAGTACGCACATGCAGAAAGCAGAGGCTTGTCTGAATATCTGATCGTTCAGGGTAGATAAAAGAAAAGAATCAGAAATTTGAACGGACTTCAGAATACATTATATGATATAGGGCCATATTTTAAAAGCAATTATTCGACTTTCATTCTTCCTTAATTCTGATTAGTTGTTAATGGACAGTAAACATTGTGGTAAGGTGGATCAGGTATAGTGTAATTTAGTCATTAATTGATTCGAGTGATGTCTTGACCTACGAATAGGACATGGTCACTACTGTGGTAGAATATAGTTCTATCAATAGAGCAAATTTATTTGGTGAATCCATGCAGTGGCTGGTACAGTGTTCTTTGCCGAGGACCATGTTTTTGGCACAATTCATTGCTTCTCATAATCATCATATCAAGGGAGTTCTCAGTCACTGATTCACATAACTTCCAAACTTCGTTTATAATGTGATCCCATTATTCGTAATCCTTTCGTTGATATTGTCGGTAGTAATATTTTCCGTACGCGTGGTATTGACGTGTCATTCCTATCTCAAGTGTTTCTTTTGTGTAGATTCGATGAAGAAAGAGTGACTGACCTCTCTGTCTTCGCCTACTTATATTACTGTTTATAAGTGTAGATCTGTTCCACAGCTTATTATGTGGTTGTTGTTGTTGTTTCCTCTAAACTAGTCAACTTTTTTGGGTCCAGTCAGTCGTCGTTCTGCACTTTACTAAATCCTTATGTTCTGATAATCTGACTGACTCCCCATGATCTACTAGTGTGACTGACCTATGCAGTTGACTTCAGTCAGAGTCACTGCAGGGTATTGTGTAGAATGCATTATTTTGTCTAATTGTGTGTGAAAAGATTTGCTCTGCAGAGCATATCCTTAACTGAGTTTGTAAGTATTTGTAGTTATGTATAAAGAGTGACTTTCCTGATAGTGGCGATGTTGGACAAGATAAGTAGTTCATGAGGTCATATAGCGGGATGGAAGTAGGGAAATAAATCTGCGTAGATACACTACAGAAATCTAATTGCATTTCTTCTAGTCAGTGGTATCTTGTTTCATGAGTGGATATGATAATAAGGAAATACTTGGTCTCCCAAATTAGTTACTGTATCGGTTGAAACGAGTCCCAATTATGACACCAAACTTGTTGTGGGAACGGACGTCCAGCATTGTGTAGACGATATGTAGTCTTAGTGTGTGCGACAACATGCACAAAAGTTTCGGAAATCGCATATAATCAGTTGGCGATTATGCCAGTGTCTTTAAATTATCGGTGCGCAACCGGTAGGGGCCTGTATACGTTCTTACTTCCACAAGTGGACGGCCAGTAGTATTCGATTTGTCTGTGTACCCATGAAGTTGTGTGACTGGTGGAGAATGGAATGTGACGGAGGACAACTCTACCCTTCTATTGAAAGCAAGTACAGCCTACGTCATCTCTTCCTGTAAAGGGTTGGGTTCTCAAGGAATCCGAGTTAGTAGTCCTACTCTACTCCTGAGAAATCTGGGCTCTGTAATGTGAGCATGGACAACTACTCTGAGTGTCCGTAGAATAGCATTCATCTAGTAACATCATCATGGTATGAGTAATTCTGAAGTCTGGCAGAATGTGTCTGGTCGAGGTAGGAGATCACCTTTCAGTAAATGTTATTATCTTGGGATAACAGATTTGTAGCTGAGATAGGTACTGCGAATTTCATCCCAGAGTGTCTGTGACCTACTTTGCCGACAGTGCAGTTTATATTCCATGATGTCGCTTCACATGATAGATGCTTGTCTCACACTATCATGTACTGGTTCAACATTAGTCTCTTAATGATGTCTGAGAGCTGTTTCGAACCAATGACTAGAAACGTTATCAGTTATGACCGAGAATCGTAATCACAAGCGAAAACTTGAAGGGAAGTGACTGGATTTTCAACATAGAACCTTTTTGCTGTTGTCTGGAGACATGCAGAAAGATGCAAGCTTGCTGGCTTAAACATTAAGAATGAATATTTATGGAGACTAGTGGTGCCATGACTAAAGATCGTGTACAATGGCGTTAATATATTCACTGATTTTTGTAATCTAGATGCTGAATTTGCTTACTGACCAGGTTTCAACATGGTAGTTTCCACAGAAGCGGTGCAACAGTTCAAGTTGACACACTCCATATAGCACACAAATGTAAGGGAAATATATTCGAACTGCTACAATTACCATAAATGTTTGGGAGAAGTGATAGTGAGATGGAGAAAGGGAGGCTTTTATGGATCTGTGTAATTGCACAAAGAGGGAATACATATTCGTTATTGAGGAAGCCTGTAATCCAGTCGTGTGACCAGCAGTTTGGAGATATCTCAAGGCACTCTTCGCCTGCATACGGGGTTGGCTGTCTGGCCCAGACCAATTATCAAAGATGACACAATCTTATTTCGAGTTTCACTTTATCCAAGGATATATCTCTTCTCCAACCTAATCCTACATCACTCTTGACTGCTAATCGTGAGATTTGTGACTCGAAACGCGAATCACTTGTTGTCCTAGCTATCTCAATAAATATTCCGCCTGGAAACTTCGGTTTCTGGCTTCCGCTCCTTTCCACATAACACTCTACGGCTCACTACCTCAATATTGTTTACCAAATCACGCCACCTAAGACGTGTGTTGAAACTCAGATATCTCCAATCAGGGGGAGCTAGGCTCTTCAATATCCTTACCGGTTTTCTTCCTCAACATTGTCAATTCTGTTACAACCAGCCATCAGCAGTGTTAATTTGAGAGTGAGGGGAGGAAGTGTCTCATTATTCTCTCAGTCGCTGATGTTCTACTTTAACGGGGGACTGTAGATATTATTCTCATTGGCTTGTGCCGTCGGTGGCACAGTGGTTAGGACTCTCGCCGACCATGCACATGGTCCGAGGTTCGAACCCCCGCCGACGCACACCTGATATCTATGGTCGGCGTGCAAAATTTGGGCTACCGATATCCATGCTGAAAATTCCATACTTGTATCAAAAATACAGCGTGGAATCAAGCTGTAAATCAAAAATATAAAAAAATATTGCATACGCAAATTTTAGTCATTTCGCACCCGGTTCCAATCTCGTCTACACCTACTTCAACCTGAACAACTGGGTGGTATCGTAAGGCTCACACAAATGTGTTATTCGTAGTCTGGTGTATGATAGTCTGTCCATGGTAATTGAGTAAGAATAACAACATAGACCTAATGGAAGACTCATCGACTATTGAAATTGTATGCATGGTTGGATAATTATCTATTAGGATTTGTGGATTTGATTGTGTAGTTTAAAATTTGATAGATGAAGAATACGTAATGAGTCATGAAGAAAATAGGAGACCAATCATAAACGAAGAAAATTTTCTTTGAAATCTGTGCATTGATATTTATATTTACTTAAAGGTATAACAGTCTATTATTGAGTGTATTACCTAACACTACGGAGTACCTGAAATCTTTATAAATTAAATTGAATAGCTGCATGGGGATATGAATTGACAGTTGATTCACAAAAGAATCCTCAACAAAGCTGTTGAAGTGAAGACAGGAGTAAAATGTG